ATTATTGAAAAAAATCGAAACCGATACATATAGCTTTCTAAGGGTCATGCTCAACCCCCAAGACAAGAACCAAGGAGCCAATGACCCAAGCATCAAGTACCTACTAGCTAGGAACTGTTATGCCTTCTTAGTACCCACAAAGACAATCCTTTCAGTATGGAACATGAAAATATACATAGGGTCCAATTAAGTACTATTTTGTTTGGCTTTCTGTATTTTTCGCCTGATATAAGATGTAAGTACCTACTTTTGAAAACTACTTAGTTATAAAGATATATAATAATAAGGTAGATAATTATATGATTTAGCGAAAAAAGTAAAGTGGAATTTTTTTAAAGCAGCAGAATATTTTTTGAAGGACAAAAACACTATATTATTCCAGCGGTCAGTGTTGACGTAATATCTCCGCTGTAAGAAGCGCATTCGAGAACATGTGATCGTAACGAAGTTCACATTGGTTTATTTACGGAAAACGGCTGAATGGTGCAGCATCTCGGATGGGTATACGCCCTTGAATTTTTACTTCTCTAACTTGAGAAACGAGTTTCCTAGGCGAACGACCTGGTACTACAGATCTGGTCGTTTTATTATACAAGAACATCGCATCTAGTTTAAATAGGCCTACTAAAGCCAAACGGATATAGGATGGGTACTAAAAAATCTATTAAATGCATTTTTTGTTTTTCGATCTCGAATATAAAATGTTTTAGTTAGGGACGATTGATTTTAAGTTTAAATATTTGGTTAAAACATTAAAATGGAATAATATGCTTTATCTGTCGTATTTTTTTTTTAATTTGATAACATAATCAAAGCTGAATGATTCTCAAATGCAGGAAAATGATTATAATTAATAAATATCAATCATATGCGAAAGTCTTCTTGTTTGTGAACTCGTTTTTGATACATATTCATTGAACAAACTTGTAATTCGCCGGTCAATTTAGTTTATTATGAAATGAAATCTGTAACCATATGGCAGCCAAAGCCTGTGACAATCCATTAGCTATACCAATTTAAACCACTTTCATGCTCATAATCACTATTGCTTTTTCTCTTTGTTACACACACATCTTATTTCTTATTATGTATGTATGATTATTATGAAAACAAGGACGTATGTTTACCAAACGATATCTGATATCTACGAAAGTACCGACAACTCAATTAAGCCCAACCAAATAATATTTATTTAAATTTGTAGGCAAAATATCTCGATGTATTAAATTATTCAACATAGATACATAGCACGCTTTATTTGCGCTCCTGTAGTTTTTTCAAAAATATTTGTTTTTCTGTTTTTTACTTTTTATCATCTTTTTTTAAAATTTTTAATGGTTGGTACGTTTATGATTCATTCAATTCGCCTTATTTGATTTTAATATCACAATTAAAATAATTGGCCATACTTACCAAGTCAAACAGGAATTCAGCTAATATGATGTCTTGATTTAGTTTTTATTTGTTGTTGCAATGATTCAGTAGCCATTTCATTCGCTCCATCTTCCTGTAAGGGCCTAAGAAAAAATAAAATCATACTATTGTATAAATATTTATAAAGGAAAAAAGAATAATTAGTTATAAAAAATGATCAAACTACAAGTCAGGGCCAAAACAAAAAACGAATCGTCTTGGCTACCCTTCAACTCAAAATAAATCACAGATTGTAGATTGCATTTGGAGTCGCTCAAGCACTGCTACCTTTCCACATATCCCGGATAAAATACCGCAGATCCAACAACGTCGAATCCAGTCATCAGAGGAATACGGAAGAGAACACTTCGTCCTCTACCACACCGCCTCTGAAAATGTCTACCGCAGCAGTAGACGAAACGTTAGGTAGAAATATAACTCGACCACAGCATTATAGCCCGGAAAAAACTTTTTTACTAGATTTGTTAAATGTTACAGAAACCCCATACAGCTTTGCGAGCGATAGTAGCTTGATGGCATCTTTCTCTTCTGACAAACCACTTACTGCAGCCACTGCCTCACGCCTCGCCAAAGAACAGATTCACTCTGTCAACAGTGATCTTGGCGCCGTAACAACCTGGTCAAATTCAATGCTTCCAAAACTCAAGCAATAGTATTTATTCTCAAATAAGAAATCTTCCGCTGATGATAACCCAGTTTTAAGGATGTTGGGACAAACCCTTTCTATCAATCCCCCAGTATCTCTTCTTAGGGTGACCGCATCCAACAACTTGTCTCACCATGACCATGTATCTTCGATCGCCAAAACCGTTTTCTGTTTCGTGCACAAAGCTTTTCTACTTCTAAACAACTTCGTCTCCTTTATATAAGGCTCAAATCAGACCAATTATGGAATACTGTTCCCACATCTAGAGCAATGCTCCCGAGCATTCGATGGCTCTATTAGATGCAGTACAAACAACTCTCACCGATTCCTTGCAATTTCTCCAACATAGACACAAGGTGGCCCATTTGTCGTTATTCTATCGCTATTACCATGAGAGATGTTCTGACGATCTGGCCAGCCTCATTTCAGCTAGAAGTTATTTGAGAACCACAAAAACCTCGCGGGCGTCCTATCCGTATATGTTGAAATTGACTACCCCGGAGGACCTCTAAATATATGGGCTTCTTTTTGGTAGCGTAATGCCTACCTCTGGAACTCCCTGTTTCCTACTTCTTTTCCTGATTTGAGGGTTATTCGCTTAGGTTAATGGCCACTCAATTTCTTCCGCTTATGGTATCGCTTATACTACATAGACTTTGTCTTTTGTGAGCGAACCAATATAAAAAAAAAGTTCCTTGCCAATCTCTGTCAAGCGTGTGGCACTTCGATTTTGCACTCTTACGAATCGGTAAAGATGACAATTATCTTCTACTTGACTAAATAGTTCATCCATTTTCCATGATGGACGTGTACCAAAATAGAAAATATTTCCAAACTCTTAAAACAAACTCTTCGTCACTAATCTTCATATCTACATGGTGGCTTTTTTGAAATGCACTTTCTTTTTATTCCACTTCATATAGTATAATTAGAGGTTAATCAAAAGGTCCCTACGCCGATGGTAATTTCTTTTCGTGTCGCCACGGAGAAACATTCTCAGTTGTTAAATACATAAAACCTACACTTGTACAATTATACAGTTAGGCTCTCTCTGGGCGACTCCATCCAGAACGCAAGTGAGCTCAATAAAACTAATTAACTTATTCATGCCTGTGTGGGTCGTTAGACTTATGTATATGTTCATCTTGTTCTCAGCTCTGTATGTTTACAATAATCTTCAACACATGCAATGGTTTGCTTTCAATTACCAACGCAGTTATAAATATATACAGGCTTTATGTGCTTTGTGTTGGGGCGGTCAGGCGGACTCTTATTGCCGATAAATCTGAAATGTTTATTTTGACAAACTGCGTCCAATGCTTTGCACTCCAAGGAAATTGTTTATAACGTATGTCAATAATAATAGGCTATAAAATTTATGTGCTGACAAATTTAGTAGCGTAAAGTTGGAACATAGCCAACTGTCTGTCAACTTAAAGCCGCCTTTTTACGTTTGAAGTGAATACTATTAGGCTACAAAAAGCAGTTACCTTTCATCAAAATAAAGAGCATACAGTATGGATTAAGAATTTCTATTCATTCAAGGCCAGAATTTATAATGATATTTAATTATTCCAGAGCAAACTCAAACCTCCACTTTGACCTTTCACTATATCAGGCTTGCGCTGATCAGAAGGTGGATAAATCTGAAGTACATATTAAACGTAGGCGAGAACTTTCTTCCTGAGGTCTAGAAAGTTTCCTAATGGAAACACATCCTTGGGTGCTGTAATTTTGGTGCAAGGCTATCCAACTATTGACGCTAATGGCTTGCGATCAGTTCCCCTGTCTGGATCTGGATCTGGATACCTATCACGGCCACAAACTTCAGCAGCTGTTTGGCAATGGTTTTCACTACACAAGATGATGGTGATCCCCATGCTTACGTCTGTGGTTTAAAACTGCTGCGTGGAATCCAAAAGATGAACTATTCATTGATAGTTCTATTTAATGCTAAAAAATCAGCTTTTCATCAATTCCTTAGTTTTCTTAGAAACATTCATTTGTGGTTGATGAAAAGAGGATGAGCTCTAGTTGAAACCAGAGGGGAGTAGAATGTTAGTTCGAAAGGTTTCACGCATGGGTATGATTGATTGCTGTTACTCCGGGTGTGTATCCACCAAGGAGGAAGAAAACTTGAAAATGCCAAAAGTGATTTTGGCACATCGTCAATTACCGAGTGTTTCTTAACGCTCGGTGGAAAACAATAACTGATGAAGCTGGTATAATAGAACAAACAATCGCTCATCATATTTTTCTTCTTCACGAAATCTTGCAGCATCTGACACTTCCGCAAACCACAATTTAGACTATCCAAGATCCTGTCAAACTTAATTTAAAATGTCCGCCAAGAGGCACACAAACCCTTTGTTTGCTTGTCAAAGTCACGTGTTTTGGATAGGCTAGACTATCCAAGATGCTGTCAAACTTAAATTAAAATGTCCGCCAACAGGCACACAAACCCTTTGTTTGCTTGTCAAAGTCACATGTTTTGAATGGGCTAATTCGGAGAAACAAATCAGTGTTGTTCTTTGTTCTACGAAGCATGGTGAAGGCTCATCGTATGATAATTTTACCTTACTCTTCTCTAAACAAAATACGTAAGGCTTGATGAGGGTTTTTCCTTGTTTAACTTTATTTTGGTACACACACATTAATGGTCGTCTGCTCTGTTAACTTGCTACATTCTAAACCTCTGCGGGAACACAAAAATCCATGTTCTTTGTCTGGAAATTTCGTATCCTTTCTTCAAATATTTTATTAACATTTCACAATATTTAGTTATGATTCCAAATTCATATAACGCGATTTAAGATAATTATTCTTTAATACATAATAAGTATTATTGGTTTTACAAATCCTCCCCAAATATAATTCATATTATATATAAGCCATTGCAATTGAATATCAAGATTCAGATAAAGAGATAAACATCAGTTGCATTTATTGCTCGTCTGAATTATGTCCTAAAATGGAAGACGCTGGGAGAGAATGGCCGCAAATTTTAACCATTGTCTTTGGTAAGCTTACTGTCACCTCCGCAGAATCAATAAATCACACACACAAAAACACAATAATAAAGGTAACTATGTGTATGCATTATCTACCTAAGTAATTTTGCTTTTTAGCATGTATCCCAGGAATATCGAGCGCGTTAATATTGACATGGACATCAGTTTTTCTACCAGTTATAACATCAGATTATGGTATTTCCGAAGACGAAGCAAATATGTTGCCTATAGTAACCTCACTCGGTAAGTTCGATCCTGACAGATGGCCTGTTCACAGAAATCACAAACCAGTCAGAGCGAATTTCATTGGTTGAAAATAGTCAGAAAACTGGTTGATGGCGATTTGCACCAATCAAAAACGATCATGGTTTGTGATTTGTGGGAGAACAGACCCAGAGTTGCTAAAGGATGTCATTAGCACCAACTCAAACGATATCAATTTAATCCGATAGGCGATAGCTCTGAATTCGTATTTCATGCTTTTCTTTCAGATATATTTACTTGAAACAGAATTGTTTTTTTTTTATTATAAACTTGAGCTTGACCTACCAACTTGATCACAAAGAAATTAAATATTTACTCTGTATATTTATTTAAAAAAATTCTCACACAATATGAGCACATAATAATAATGAAATGCTTGTCCATCTTCCAGATGCTTCAAGTGGTGAAACAAATAGTTTACAAGTCCACTTGGAATCTTTGAAAAATAAAAATAAGATTCTTTTTGGACATAATTCTTTGTATGCTCCTCTATACTTCAATAATTTTTAGGTTGTATGATCCCAGCCTTATTTTTCTATAAGCTACCAGATTTAATGGGGCGAAAATATACTCTATTACTCCTAAATGTACCCCAAGCTACTTATTGGCTATTCACAATATTTGCCAAAGATATGTACAGTCTCTGCGTTGCTAGATTCCTAGGAGGTTTGGCAGACGCAATAATGTACTCGGCCCTACCAATTTATTTGGGAGAAGTGACCACACCAAAAATAAGAGGCTCATGGGGAAATGGGCAAACATTTTCGTTCAACGCTGGTTTTTTTCTGATAAGCACCATCGGTAAGTTTATTTGTCAAACTAATCTCATCTAATTCACAAAAATTGTAGGTAGCTATGTTTCCATTCAAAACACTGCGTATATATTCATTACCCTACCGATATTTTGCATAATAGCATTTTCATGGCTACCAGAATCTCCATATTATTACTTGATGAAGAATAAAGAACAAAAAGCTCGTGATTCGTTAAAGTGGCTTTTGAGAAAAGAAAATATTGAGCCCGATTTTCAACAACTGAGGAAAGACGTTGAGAGGCAAATTTCTGAAACAGGAACTTGGGCGGATCTTTTTAAAATAAAAAGTAACAGAAGAGCACTTATAGCTTGTGTTTTCATTAGATGGGGGCAGCAGTGTGCAGGAATAGCCGTTTTTGAAGGTTACTTTCGAACTATATTCGAAAAAACTGAAACTGCCTTGAGTCCGGAAGTATCAGCAATTATTTTCTCAGGCTGGCTCTGGGTAGTAATGACAATATTTTCTTTCTTTTTGGACACATTCGGAAGAAGAAAATCTTTTATTTTTTCATCACTTGGTTGTGTCATCACATTAGCAGCAGAAGCAATTTACTTCTACATAGATGAGTTTCGAAGGGATATGGATTTGACATCGGTGAAATGGTTCCCTATAGTAGGACTTCTATTTTATTTGATATTCTACGCTGTCGGATTGGGTATTTTGCCCAGTTTAATGGCAGGCGAACTTTTTTCCGCTAGTATAAAAACTAAAGCTCTCTCATTCGCAAACTTTATGATGGGACTCATTGTATTCGCGGAGACCTACACATTTAAAAGTCTCAGCAGCCTTGTTGGATTGTATGCTCCTTTCGCAGTTTTCGCCATTGCTACCTTTATTTGTTTTATATTGGCTTTCTATATTGTGCCGGAGACTAAAGGGAAAACTCTTGAAGAAATTCAGCAAGATCTGAAGGCATCCAAGAAAAACAATAAAACGTTTTATTGAATAAAGAAAACAAAATCTGTTTTATATTAAAACGAACCCAATAATATAGTTGTTTATTTGTTCTATAATTAAGAGTTTCAAAGCTGTATTTTCCAAATAAATTTCTAAAAAATTATTAAACAATTTTATTTTTTGATTTACTTTTCAAAACATACAAGGAAAAGAGTTTATTCGAAAATTGATAGGCTTCTCAGTAATACTAACTATGACAAATTGTCCCGACACAATTCGAAAATTTAAATAGTGGAGTAAAATCACAATGAAATTATGACTTTGAGTGATTCCGAGGTATAACCAGATGAAACCTATATCATCTTGTAGAGGACACTCTGGGGCATAGGAAATGGGAATGTACAACTTTTTTTAGTGGGACTGAACTTTGAAATCGGCCCTTAAACGTGACTGAGCTAGAATTTGAAAAACTACGTTTTTCTAAACATTACCCGCTGTATTAATTTAAGCATACAATCTAAAATTCTGATTTTTTGCACACTTATACTTGAAACATGAGCGCATCTAATGAGTTCAGAAATTTCGAAAAGGTTTAAGGTTTTTTTGTTAAAAAGTTAGGAATATAGAATTATCCAAATCGTGCATCTAAAACTTCACCCTGCGGCGAGCAACGTGAATTATTGAAAATTTCTATACATATATATCGAATCAAATGTAGTAAAAACATTGACGAAGTTTTTGAAAAAAAAATTAAGTCGCTAAATTTAACGGTTATAGAAATATGAATTTTTATCCGAGAGCTTTGAAATGCGCTCTGATGCTGAAAGCGGCTAGCGGCTACCATTCTGGAAATCATCTGCGTTAGTGCGTTAGCGTTACATCTAGAAATAAAATAAAAAATCTATAAACATAAAGTAATTGATTGAATCCTTTTTATGAAGTTAGTTTAAATATTTTCCCCTTCGTCATCCTCATATAAATCAGGAACATTATTTTGACAACTTTTGCAGGAACAATCGCTGCAGCATGTTAAACCCTCTTCCAAGCAGACACATTTATTATTTTGACATAATTTATCTTCGCAGAAGACATTCATTAGTTGCTTTATATCCATTGGTATGGCATCAGCAGTCATCAAAACAAGCTCAAAAAGTCCATTATTCCTAGTCCAACCAAAGTTAACAGGGTCAAGTATAGGCATAATGGATATATGACTGGATATCCATATACGCAGTTTATATATGCACCTGAAATTTTGTTTATCACATAAATACAGCTTCTTTTGTTATATATACACCTAGCTCAGTACATGCTGGTAAAATGCATCATCTGTGGGTAGAAGTTCAGAAGCGGATTTATTGGAAGTTGTGGTCAATTGATATCTCAATTAATCGAGGGTTTTTAGGGTCTCGTTCTTATTTCTGAATAGCGCCAATGCAAATTTGGTGGCATAAGGTTCCAAGATTTTTAGAAAATACATTTTTTGCCTTTGCATTTAAGGTATCGCATCCTGTTGACACATGCAACGCTGGTAAACATTTATAAACTTCATTTTCCAGTTTCTGCACTATTTATTGGAATGATCCGTTTTTTATTCCCTTGTCCTAATTCCATAAAAAGGTAGGTTTCTTTCAAAGAACTTACTTCAATAAATTCAGAATAGTGGTAAATAAGTAATACCAGAACATTTGCATCTGCAGACTTCACCAACACTTTTTTTGGTGAAGTATCTGATATTCATATAAGACGTGGATTATAAGTCGTGCATCAGTCTCATCATGATTCGATTTCAAATCTTTCAATTCGGTTACACGGTTACACCATCCTTGTTGACAGAAAAGCATAACTCTGGGTTTTCAAAACCACCAGCGATGATCAGAGTTTCTTCTATTTGTCAGCTAAATATTCCAAAATATAACCAGTTACAAATTTCAATAGGGATTCTTCAAAATCAGAATTTTAGAATGTATGCTTAAATTAATACAGCGGGTAATGTTTAGAAAAGCATAGTTTTTCAAATTCGAGCTGAATCACGTTTAAGGGCCGATTTCAAAGTTCAGTCCTACTAAAAAAAGTTGTACATTCCCATTTCCTTGGGGCATAGGAAGTGTCCTCTACAAGATGATATAGGTTTCATCTGGTTATACCTCGGAATCACCCACCCTCAGAAAACAGCGAGTTAGAGCAGTGATTTTATTCCACTAAAAATCGAGGAATAAAAACTCTTTCGCAAAAAGATCATTCATGGAGAGCTCAGGGCCATATGTGATGGAAATACCACCTATGGGCTCGCCAGGAGCTATCCTCATGAAGTAAAAGCAAATACTTACCTGTCCACCATAATCAGAACTCAGAAGGTTCTGATTCATTTCGAGAAACACCTCGCTACTTTTAGGAAATTTATAAATCCAGCTAACCATAAAGTCGGCATCTCAAGACGCATGCCTTGGCGAGCCAGGCTTGTGGCTTGAGCTTATCGTGGCTCGTCCAGAATCGGCTTGTCGATCGAGGTTTGGCAAGTGGATGCGATTCCACGACCTGTGGATTGTTGCAATCGTCGTTGAAAGTATACGCATATATTCCTTTTACTCGTGTCAAAGCTAGGCTCGTCAAGCCACGCGTCATAGGATTACAGCTTAAAGTATATGCTATCCAGGCATCCAGTAATCTCCAGGAGAAAACCTCATCATCATCATAGGCGATCACTCGATACCGAGTATGATTATCGATTGTGCATTTTCTGATGGCTATATAAACCAATTCTGGAACCGCACATTCTTCTACAGTGTTGGCACACCCAGCCTCTGGCAGCATTTGTGTTCCTCTGTTCTCTCGCTCCTTCCTGCGGTCTTTTGCTTCGCAGCAATATGTAAGTGTTGGTATTACAATTGCATTGTAGATGCGAAGTTTGGTCTCACCGCTGATTTCGTGATTGTTGAAGAATCCCGAAGGTTGCGCTAGCACACTTCAAGCGATGTTGGATTTCAGCATCAATAGTTGCATTCGCTGGGGAGTGTTCTGCAAAAAATGGTCCTTTATAGTTATATTTGGGGCTTGGGTATTAGTGCCCGGTGCGCGTTGGTGCAGAATCTTCGTCTTGTTAAAGTTGACCTCTAGGCCGATTCTCCTGCATGCCTGATTGAATGCATTGATGTTTGTCTGAATATCTTCCTCTGTGTTGGCCATCACGACATTATCATCCACATATTGAAGTTCAATTTTCGATTTCGTCGACACTTTCGTCTCGACTCGTGATCTGTTTAGGTTGAATAAGCCGCCCTGAGGTCTGTACAGGATTTCCACTCCTGCCCTGGACAAGGTGAAGTATGGTTCTTATAAATAGAGAAAATAAAGTGGGTGCAATAACACAGCCCTGTTTAACGCCTGTAGTTATTTGGAAAGGCTCTCCTCGTCCATTATTGCTTATGAGGGTTGCATTCATATTATCATGTAGCAGGCGGAGGATCTTGATGTATACTTTTTCGGACACCCAACCTTTGTCAGTATCTTCCAAAGAGCTTCTCTGTTGAGCGAACTAGATGCTTTCACTAAATCTATGAAGCCCATGATTGTATAGAGGTGAGGTGAGATCATGTCTTTAGGATTTCTTTTTTTTTTGCCCTGCATTGGATGATCCAGAAAAAAATTATTTGAAAACACGACAACTAGACGGCTCTTAACTAATGTGCGACGTAATAATCCTACTAAAATCGGGCGTCAGATAATATGACGTCTAGACGTTGTGATTATAACGTCCGACAAAGGGCATTCGGACATTGCAGAAATGTGAATAATGATTTAGTCGTTATACACCCAATAGCCCACATTGGGATTGGTAGGGAACAAGTCGGGTAGTCGCAAAAATGCTACTTGGGTTGTTTGAGATGTTCATTTTCGAAGCATAACAGTGGGATGTTATGAAGGATGTCTGATAAAAAAATAAATGATTCTCATTGGTAATGAACCGCCACTGAAGAGATTCTTAGAAGTTATATCTCTGGGTCAAAACAAAATACCCACCATTACCTTCGGATACTCGAAAGGCGGGATATCCTTCTCTTTGGGGTACTCCTAATTAGGTATTTATTTGCATAGGTCCCCTTTGTAAGCGATAAATATTGATCCGGCGATAAATTTGACGCAACTGTATCTGCATAATCCGGTTTATTAGTCTTCAAAATCATTCATAGAAAAATCAGATTATAGTACCGAAATATACATGTGAATGGTAGAATATGATCATTTTAAACAAGCAACCTGAAAAGAAAAGATAAATATTCATTATGGGGTCCGAGAATTCCTTTAGGCGTAGGTGGTAACAAGGGGCTTGTTATATAACAAAAGCATTTGTTTAAATTTCATGACAGATTTAGATGAGCTTTGATCCCATTTATCCTGACTTGGTGTGGAACGCGCTTATCTACATGAAAACAAGTAACATTTCTTAGACCTCTCAAGTGAAGTTCATCGTTCTTTGTGTCGGTTACGAAGAAAACCAACCACGCCTTCCCTGCTTCGTTCCATCATAATTTTCTCTACTCTTTACTTGATGATGCAGCACTGGATGCTTACATTGACGATGTTTACATTGATGATAAAATAAGAATTTGAATTGACTGGACCGATATTTGGTGGAAAATTAAATTCGTATAATGAGCTTTAATTGATATGAATTAAAATGGATAACGAAATATTAATAGTGGTTGTTAATTTTCCTCTTTGGTTTCATAGTTCAGTGGTTGATGAAAATACTTTGACTAAGTTTCAAAAAAGATGAATTGTCAGTCAGCTTCAAATTTCAAAATTTACACTGAATATACCTTAAAATAGTATCCCCGATAATGTCTTGTATCAGTTAGATTTCGCCGATGTAAACATAACCGAGTCCTCACACAATATTTTCCCATGTGATTTGATTTATTGATACAGCAACTTAGCAACAGTAATCTCATCACCTTCTTGAAGTTCCTACAAGATACCGCCAAATTCCTTGATGTGTAACTTGGAAATGGAATTTTTCAAAACGTTTTGTGTCTCTAAGGAGTATGCATTGAAAAATTATGACACAACTCTCATTATTACCATTTCTATCAGAAAATTGTATTGTTTCAGCATTTTTCCAAATTTCTTAAATACATTTCTGTGAATTGTCAAATATTTTCGCATATTATTCCC